TGTTGCTTTCTGCTTTCTTGGAAAAGCCAGTTCCTCATCACTCGAGCCAGAGTCTGCAGATGGCCTGTCACCTGATGTGACAAGCAAACAAAGCGATCGTGACGATGAACCAATGAGTTCCACCACAGTTTCATGTGAGGCCTTAGATACATCTGTACCATTCACACTCAAAATGTAGTCACCAGGTCTCAATCCAACACTATAAGCCGGACTCCCCTTCATAATTCCACTGAGGACACAGGGTGCCTGTCCAGCCATGGTGAATCCATATCCAGCTCGCCCACGCTCCATCTCCACGGTGCGGACTACTGGGCTTTGAGGAAGATCTAGAGGTCTCCTAACAGCTCTAGCCGGCTCCACTACCCTCATTTTTATGATATCTCCAGATCACAGCTGTATGATGACTTTGGAATGATGTCAGAGCCAAAAGTAATGAGCATCAGACATAGTAGCTTAGCTAATAATACACAGGAGAAAAAAACGGTTAATAGAGTAACAGGATTATAATGTAAGAAATACACAACAAAGTTTACAGTAACTGCTTTGCAGTAACTAAGTTATTAAACAAATACCCTAAATTACGTGATTTGCAGATTTATAAAATGAAAATTGTTCACAATAAAATTGAAATAAATATGAAATGATAATGTGTTCCAGCTTTTGCTAATGTAAGTTAAAGGAAAACAGCCGCCCACGAGCCTTTGTTTTGACGTTTCAGACACGACTTACTTTACTCAAATCAATGGCTTGTTAGAATAAATAAAGGCAAAACACAGTGGAAACAGCTTATTTTAAAAGAATAACAATTAATTTGACTGGAAACTTAGCGTAATATTTAGCGTATGGTTTCGTCCAGCCTCATATCACAAAGTAACCAAACGTGACTTTCCACCCTCGAGAGGCTGTAAAGTTAGTAACGTTAACGTTACTGCTAGACAAAATTCGATTACTTAGTATATAAATTACAATATAAATATATATAAATAATAAGCAATTTTCCAGTATATGGTAAATATTCACATCAAATCACCAAAATAAATGTCCGCTTACTTATCTGGTTATTCCAAAGTTGCAGCCTTTTCAAGTCCGTCTCCTCAGGACAACCACTGCCATTCACTATTGTACAGAACACAAAGCGTCATTCAGTCTCTATGGCACCGTAACGTTTACTAATGCGTACGAAGGCTCCCATTGGCTAAAAGACCCGTCAATCATGTCTAGCGTTTAAACGAATACTTGACGCTCATTGGTGTTTGATGAACCACGTGGTGCGCTCTATTGAAAGCGGTACGCTGACGGCTCACATGGGCGGGCTCAGAAGACTCTGCTTACTGCCTCACCTTTCCTCAAAACTACAACACGAGGAACGAGATTTACTCATAGCGAAACAGGCTAAGTGTAAACAGCGTATCAGGGTTTTCTTGGTTATTAAATTTCTTCATTTAGTCTCTTAAGTGCCTTAGACATAAAACAAGCCTTTTATAGCATAACGTATCTGAAAGATTTAAGATGAATGGATTTTCCATGAAAAGCGCCACACAAATTTTATGATACAAAAACTAGCACGTGTTTATCTAGTTTAAATATATTATTTCAAAGTTCGTAATGAACATAGTGTATTAAAATTATGAAGCAAGTGAACACCAGTTTTATTTAGCTGTAAGAAAAAACACCCTGTTACATTAAGTGACATGATTAAGAGAAAGTGATGTCAGTTAAGGCTTCAAAGAGAAGTCGCTGGCAAGCTGGCAATTTTGCCTTTATTCAACACTGATAATAATTTATTTTCTCTTTACTTAGCAGAGTCTGCCAAGATAGCATAACGTGTCCAACCCATCTCACACACACACACACACACACACACACAAAATAGCTTAAAATATTTCACCCGTCACATTCCCCTCCATTACAATCTCAGTGTCATGGGGTACTTCTCAGTGTTATTTGCCACATAATTAATTAATTTAATTAATTAAATTAGTTTGTTTAATGGAATGGAGGACAGAAAAAGTGTGATTTCTTGATGTGAAAAAAAACATTAAATGACCCTGTCATTTTTATATATCATTAAAAAAGTCATGCGCTATTAATGAGAGAGCATAACATCAGATTAAGGTCGTTTATCTGCATGTGAAATCTGTAAAGAGTAGAATAATTATTGGACACAAGTGTAAATTGTATAACCAGATAAAATGTTTAAACCATTATTGAACCACAATCCAAAGGATGCACAGGTATTTATAATGTTGGGTCATAAATAGCAGGAGTGACAAAGATTTAAGCAGCCCTGAAAGTGTACTATCCAGGTTTTGTTTGTTTGTTTGTTTGTTTATTCGCTTGTTCTGACAATGCCACACTGGACTGCTCTAACCTCCACTAGGTACTGTATCCTGTGACTGGTGCTGTGGTGCTGTGGTTCTGTGCCTTGTGTAAACTGACAAGTCATGCTGAAGTAGTTTTGTACAAGTTTGTATCTTTTTTATAAGCAACACTGAGCTTTGGAAAGACACTGTATAAGTTAAGCTGGTGATCATGACTCCCATTTTCTCTCTACAGGCTACACGCCTATAGTTCCAAGTGGACTTTGGACATGGCTTGGTCAAAGAGCACCAACGGTTCTTTCCGTTCTCTCAGACAGATCACTGAGTACAAGAGCAAACATGAATTATGTAGCCTTCGTTGGTTTATGTAATTCAGAAGTCTTACGTTACATTTCATGAGAATTACTTTTGACATTTTAAAGATAAATATTGTTGCATTACTTTAATGTCTTTTAAAATTGTCTTTATTTTCAAACCTGATCATATACTGTCCATCTTTTGGACTCTAACAGCATCCAGCATATCTGAACCACGCCATTCAAAAAAACTGGTGCAGGTGTGTTGGAAACTGAGGTGAAGAGAGAATGTGGACTCTCTGGGGTCTGTGAGGACTGGGTTGGGAAACGGTCCTAGCTTATTGTTTCTGTGTCAGTCAGCCTTAAGGTATCAGGCAATTAAGTCTCTTAAGCCTACTACCACAGCAATTCTCTTAACAGCATTAATCTTCATCTCACATTTCACAGCCTTAAAGCATTGTCCACCTCCTGATTGAAAGCCAAGCGAAAAACTTAGTAGTAAATAAGTAGTAAAAAGGAGTAAATAAGTAGCAAGTCTTGTGTTGTCAGTTGTCTGCTTGGAACATTGCTGGCTTTGTAATCCTCATCTAAATCTGTCACCTGAAGGCACTTATAAATGGCAAAATGGTGTGTCATCTACAAACCTAATTCCAAAAAGTTAGGACAGTATGTGAAATGCTAACAGAAAGCAGTGTTTAGTAAATTCAATTTGACCTGTACTAAATTGAAAATAGTACAGAAACACAATATTTGATGTTGTATCTTATGAAATATATGGCAAATATATGCTCATTCAAAATTTGATGCCTGCAACACATTCCAAAAAAGTTGGGACAGGAGCATGTTTATCACAGTTACATCACCTTTCCTTTTAACAACACTAAATAACTGTTTAGAGAGTGAAGACACAAACAGATCCAGTTTTAAGAGGGAATTTTTGGCCCTTCTTCTGATACAAGTCTTCACCTGTGCAACTGTATGAGGCCTTTGTTGTCATATTTTGGGCTTAATAAGACACATGTATTAAGTAGGAAACAGTGTGGCACTCACACTCTCTGATTACACAGCCATGCAGAATGTGGCTTGGTGTTGTCATGTTGAAATAAACATGGGTGTTCCTGAAAAAGACAATGTCTAAAAGGCAGAATTTGTTGCTCTACAAGTGTTCAGCATTAATGGTGGTGAATGGTGATGTTTTTTTGCCTTGCTCTTAAAGCATATAGATATTTCTCAGGATTCCTGGAATCTGTTGATATTATGCACTATAGAGGGTGAAGCACTTAAAATCCTTGCATTCAAGTTGATACATTACAACATGAATTATCTTGTCCTTGTACTGCTTTTTAATCAAATACAGGTCTAGGTAGATTTATAATCACTGTTTTTTGTTTTTGTCTGCATTTCACATTGGGTTACTTCAAACTAGGTCTAGCTATTGTATGTCAGTGAGATACTTTGTAGGCCACTTGAGCATGTATTTACTGACTTATTAGAATGTCTCTTGTATATAATTATAATAGGGCCATTGGCCATTACAATGTAAGGAAATGTAATAATTTTCCATAACTTCCACGTTTAGATGATGGATATTAAATTTTCTTACATTGTAATGGCCAGTGACCCTGTTATTATTATTATTATTATTATTATTATTATTATATACAAGACACATTCTAATAGGTCAGTGAATATATGTTTTTGTGTTTTTTTTCACAAAGATTTTACCGTTAGTTGGACTGTCCAGTGGAACTGTTCCTGGCATATTGGTCAGTCTTGACTTTTGGCTTAACCCATTAAAGCCTATATATTTTTGATATGTTTTGGGGTTGGCAAGAGCACAAATTGATTATACCACAACCAATTAAACCACATGGTTAAAAAAATGTATCCCTTGATTTATCATATTAAATCAAGTCAATTCAGTCACACAGGACTACCTAGTTTTGATTCAAATTTGAATGTGAAAAAAAGCATGGCAATAATGTGTAAAAAAAAATCTTATGGTACTATTAAACTTGTGCATAACTGTACACAATATAATCACTTTAGAGGAATCAAATTCTGTGGCTTTTTTATAATTCTGTGGCTAAATTTAGTTGTTCGTAACAAAAGGGTTATATTATCATGTCTTAAGTTATTAATACCCCCCAGGTCCCAAACAGACTTCATGAGAATACAGAAATCAGACAGACTACTTTATATAAAACCCTAGTCACAAATGACACCTTTTTCATGGATTTTATGAAAAATAAACACAGTTTAATAAGATCACAAATGAAAGTTGTTTGTTGCTGCTATAACATTATCTAACTGATGTAGCTGTGTGTGTTTCATTTTATTCATCGCCAGCAATCAGGAATGTGCGTGTATGTGGCACGTGGGCCTATAGCTGGGTGGGTTTAGATGCTGTAAATGGGATCATTTTCTCCAGAAGGTTCATCATTCTGTCCTGGAGCTGCAGGCTCTGCACTTGCAGGAAGTTTTGCTGCTGCATGACTCTGCGAACCTCTCGGCAAGTCTCCTCCACAGCGTGCCTCATCTTGCGCTGCTCCTGCAGCATCGCCTCCATCACGCGCAGCTTCTTACGACGCAGAGGCACCGGAGACATGCGCCGTCTCTTCACCGCCTGAGACCTGAACACAACATACAACATCAAGCCTGTGTTTAGCATGCTGCACTCTGATCTTAGCCAGGTGTGTTGGCAGTCTGTTTAAATAGCCTAGCTGTAACAACAACAACAGTATAGTATAATTATTATTATTATTATTATTATATGCAATTTTGCATCTCATGGTCTCTGCCTTGGCTCCAAAATCCACTGTCCACAAGTTTGCTTGTAGCTAACTCGTTTGTACATAACTGTTTTTGTAGCTAGATCATCACAAACTCTCTGATGCTCAAATGAATAAACAGTGATGCTTATGTGAAGATCTGCATCATGCTGCACTGGAAAATTATTTACTAAATGTATCTAAACACATTAAAATACAACAATGTTAAAAACTTGGCATGTCACAATTGTTCACAGCGATGGTGATAGGAACCAGACATCTGAAGTGTTTAATGCCTCTAAAAGCATCCTCACAGAAAATTATTACTATTAAATTATTTTTTTTTAGGTTGGGCTCTGCACTATTTTACAATTTTTTACACATAAAAACTTAGAAGACACATTCAGGTTCACTGGTTGTATTGGGTAGTAAATAAAATGGCTATATTTGTGTGGTAGTCATTGTGACACCTGGTTCCTATCATCATCATACTAAAGAAATATAAGTTGGTAAATTTCTCTAATTTCTCAATGCGCCATTTCACATCAAACCACTCTAAATGACTTTTTTTGTATCCCAGTGACTGAATTATGCGGAACTTTTGAGAAAACGGTGGAATTCCTTTTTAATGGAACAGTATATAGGAATATGTTGCTGATGACTGCAGTAAAACTTGCCAGCCTTGACAGCTCAGAAAAAGGAGGATTTTCCACAAACCAGCGAGGAACCTGTTTTTCAGAAACCTCCAAAAAGCATAAACAGAAGTCAAAAGCAAAAAAGGATTTATTCCTAATTTTGGAGCATTTCTATTGGTCCATTTATTATAAAACTTTCACTCAAGTGATGTAGAAAATTAAATAAGTAAAAAGACGTAACCTCATCTTGGTGCCTTCTGTCAGCCAAAGGCCTAAAATGATGTTGTTGCCAGGTGTGGTCACATCTAGCCTATCAAAGCAACAGCCATCCTTTTATAAACTAAAATATTAGAAATGTAGCCCAAAAGTGCAGGGATCTGGGATAATCCTGAGCCAATGAAACTCTGAAAAACTGAGGCAAGAGTGAGGTTATGTAGCACACAGACCATAGTTTGTTGGTGTTTTTTTCCTTCTAGCAATAGGTCATTTAGCTGGTGTCAGCTAATCTAGCCAAAGTTTTAATATGTCACAGATCTCACTTAAAACTTGACCTCCATTAGCTTTTATGCTATCTAGCTAGCAGACTTACAAGTTACAGAGTAACCCAGTTGTTTTCAAACCAGTCCTCAAGGCTCCCCAGAGAGTCCACATTATTAGCTGCTGAGCAAAAATATGGACCATTCGGGGGCCCTGAGCACCGGTTTGAGAACCCACCATCTGTTTCAAGTTGTTTCGCCCCTTTATTTTAAGCAGTTTATTTGCTGTGTGTAGCGCTTGATTTCAGACTGACAGTTTTTGTATAATATTAAGCTTGTTATTTGAAACCATGTCAAACCTGATATGTTTTATATGGTTCACTTTTATGCAAGAGTCTCAAATTCTAAAGACTCAAGACTCGATTTGGACTCACTCACTCGAGAGAAGCAACCTGTGAACATCTCTGCACTGATGCACTTTGAGGTACTATACTCCAGAGCCTTACCTGGACTCAAAGGAGCTCACAGAGATCTCTGTTCCATCTTCCTCATCTTCCTCTTTGACCTCCCTCTCCTCCGAGGAGCCAGTGTACTCTGATAGGAAGCCTATCATTGGAGCTGCAGGTAGAGGTAGAGAGGATTCAGGTTGGGAGGTGGATGCTCCAGTAGTTTGGGGGTCCAGTGGGCTCATGTGGGTCTGCTCTGGGACCTTGGACAAAATCCTTTCAATGGACTTGTAGTAAGGCCAGTCAGGTGTGCCGGTGCTTCCACTGGCTGTGTACTTCAGCTTCCTGTGGAGTGAAAAACATTTGTATATTGTAGCATATAATGCATTTGTAATATATTGCACACTGATTCAGGCTGTATTACTCTCGAACAGAACCCACAGCTACAGTTAAGCTTGAATTGCCTCATGTTTCTCATTATGAAACTGAATACAAGAAAGGTCACTAAGCAGCCAAGAGCATTATGATGTTTCGCACTAAAATATACTGCAGCTTTAAGCTTGTTGTGTGAAATAAGAGTCAAATGTAAAAATGGATTTTAAGTCCTCATGCAGACCTAAAAGGATGAATGAGTGTTCAAAAGGGGAAAAAGTGGCCACCCTTACACTTGCCTGTACTGGAATGTCATGTTGGTGATCTTCATCTTGATCTCCTCTCTGTGGCGGTGCTCGCCGGTGAGTTCGTAGAGTCGCTTGGCCATTGTTTCGTAGATCTTAGCGTTGCGCTTAGCCTTCTTGAGCTCGGTGACATACTCCTCCCAAATGTACAGAAGACCTTTCATTTCTGAGTCTGTCCAGTTACGAGCCCTTCTGTGCTTTTCGTTTGAGCCTGGCACTATATAACTGAAACAGTCCTCAGCAGACATTCTGTGAAGCTCTCTCAGGTTTGTTGTACAATCAGATTTTTATGCTGCTGTTTGCCTTCAGTGCAGTGAGCTTTTAGAAAGCCTCTTTTCTTCCCCTGTTCTCTCTTAGCCTCTCCAAGCTTGTGCTTGTGTTGTGAGCCAGGCCACACGCTCTGCCCTTCCCCCTCTAACTCAGTTAAGAGGCATCAAAATGGGGCCTGGAGGGCTGGAGCAATCAGCTTTAAAAGCTTTTAAAGAGGGAAGTTCGTCACCATGATGTCAAGTTGCCCTGGCAACGGCCCACCAAGCCCCTCCCCTCTCCAGCCTCCCCGCCCCCCCCCTTTCCTCCGTCCCCCACCGCCTCCCTCTCGGATCCGTAACAAAAAGCTTTTAGCAGAAAGCTAATGAAGTGGGTCGGGCGGCCAGGAAATCTGCATGTGAAATGCGACTCCTGGGGGGCGGGGGGCGAGGGGCGGGGGGGGGCGGAGGGGGGCCTGCGGGCGGCGGAGTGAGCCGTTGCCTTGGCAACGCGCCTCGCTCCGGGCCATGCAAGCCAAGCCTTAATGTGTTTAAAAGCTTTTAATGGAGGCTGGAGCGCAGAGTTCCTCGCCTGACACTTACAAAACGCGGTTGGAATTCACAGTCTGTTCACAGCAACCCGAGAGAGCAGCTACAGCTGTGTTTAAAAGCATAAACTGACTGAATTTTGCAGCAGTAGAGAGAAAGGCTGCATAGCACATATTAGCAAAAGTAGAGCATGCAAAACAGCATACTGCACATGCTGCAGCTTTCTGAGCTTTAAAAGCTTGCTGACTGGATTTTTGACCATGTGGACACTGTAGGCATTGTCTTAGTAATGTACCCCTCTCCCCCCTTTCCTGCCCCTCTCCCCTTCCCCGTATATATTTGGAAGAATATTCCCATCACTGTACCCCTCTCTCCCCCTTTCCAGCCCCTCTCCCCTCCCCACGTATGGAAGAATATTCCCATAATACCCTCACCTTTAGAGTTTCACATTACAACCACATTTACTCTTAGACCTCTGTGTGTGTGTGTGTGTGTGTGTGTGTGTGTGTTCGTGTACGATCTGAAGATAATAAAAGACACAGCAAACGAACGTATATGTGTGTCTTAAGATAAATGCATATGGTACTTTTGAGACCGGTACAGAACCACAAACACAAGCCTTCATTGGTAACTTGGTTAAGCACATTGTAGAGAACTGTTTGGCCATAGACCACTGCAGACATGCGTCACTCTGTAGTCTGTGTTATGCCTGTTTCAGGAACTCTGGGTCTAAGCTCCATGTCTCTATGGCCATAATGAATGGCGTTTTGGAAAAATCGCCTCTATCGCACCCTGTGGTAAACAGAAATGTTCAGAACCTGATACATTTTGCCCTGTGTATATTTTCTCCTGAAAATCACTGGATCCTCTGAATTACGAGGTCGTTAAAGAGTCTTAGGCCCAAACCACTTAGCCCTTAGCCCTCTGTTTTGCGCGTTCACGTCTAGGGTTAGGGTGTCCCAATTTTTGTTGAGATGGAGGGGTAGGGCAAAGTGTTAGGGCTACATGGCCCTCCAAACGGAGATTTTTCAGAGGCTCACTCCAAACGGAGTGTTATGAGAAAAAAGGAAAAACCGGCAAGATGGCTGCGCGAGCGACTAAAGAAACGCACAAATGTAAGCACGCTAATAGCATGCTAATGTTTCGGTAGCTATCTGGCTAACTTCCCGTTCCACCTTAAATAGTCTAGCAGTGTTGACGCCCGAAGCGCCAAAATGTAACTGCTGCACCATTTAAGGTGGAACGGAAAAATTGGAACAAGAAGCTGGTGAATAGCTGACTTCAGCTTCGTATCACCAAAGAATTAGGGGTGGGTGATAATAAATAATTGTCTTAAACCCCCTGTTTGAAAGCACATGATGCCCTAAATGTAACTAAAGCCCAGCAGCGAGGTTGCTGAACTTCTCCCTTCTCTGCTATCACTGAAGACGGGCTGGGTCGCCTACAGAGCACCGCTAGTAGCCTGTTAATGAAGTAATGTTTTTATTTTTAATTTGAGGTTTGTCCCATTTCCTAGGGCAAGATTTCAACCACTACCCCTTGTAACGTTAACTCAGTTCAAAGGGGTTAGGGTGACACTCGAAAACAAAGGGTAGGGGAAAAAAAGAAATGGGATTGGGCCTTAATACTAATATTGCTACATGCAAGCTAAAGCTGCTGCGCTTCAATTTGATATGACTAAGCGAAACTACGGCGGGTTATGGCGCTGTTCTGACGAGTTGCGATACCATATCAAAGGCTACGTTTACACAGCAGGTAAAAGTGGCCCACATCTGATTTTCTCACCAAATCCGATTTTTTTGTTTGGCTGTTCACATTATCTTTTAAATGTGATCTGTATGCGACATAAGTCTGAACAGATCAGCTCCTAAACCGACCCGCATTAGCAAAAGAACAGTGCTTCACGTGGCTCGTTCAGAGGTAAACAATCATGACGGCCAGCGAGCGCCAGTCGCTCCCGCAGCTTTCAGTTTGGTCTTTACCAGCATCACAGGAGCGATTATGAAGTTCCAATGACTGACAGCTGGACTCATCACCCACAATGTGTTCGAGTTCGCTGTATAAAGGGCTCGTTATTCGGCCACTTCTTTGGTTCGAGTCCTCGGATTCTTTAAACTGTTCTCTGACGCTGCAGCCTCGGGCTCCTCCGGCCGCGTTCGGCCGTTCCGTTCTAAACCTCTTCAAACACGGAGCGCTTTGATGAGTCTCTTCTCATGTTTTGGTACAGAAACATAAGACTAAATGTTTATGAGTCTCAGCAGGATTGGATTGACGTAAGAGTCGCATGAATTCCGATCTGACTGTTCAGACAGAGTCGCATTGCCGCAGAATGCGACAATTCAGTACCACATATAAAAGCGTCTCAATTCGGAATTGAAAATGTCAGATTCAATGCGTTTTTTGCTGTTCACACTGCCACACGGATGACACGTGTCACATATGAGGAAAAAGATCGGATTTGGGCCACTTCTACCTGCTGTGTAGCCAAAATGTCCTACCGTGGTGCATTTATGTAGAAATGCTCGTAAATAAAACCTCTAGTTAGGATATTTCGATAGCCTAAAACTCCTTATAATATACTACCAGTGTACGAGGCTGGATTTAGCTTATTTTTCGATAGCTTCTTGTTCGAGAGATGGCGCAGCAGTTATTATAACGTTTCAGGCACTGCTGAACCATTTAAGGTGGAACGGGGAAATTAGAACAAGAAGCAAAGTCCTGAGAAAATGTACTCAGAAAATGTTACCAGGATTAAAATAATAATTATGATATTTTGATAGCCTAAATCAGTTTATTAGGGGTAAGCAGTGATATTAAGCTGAGTCTGTACTAAATTAGCCTATTACAGTGCAGATTACACCATTACAAGCCTATTACAAGTTTGTAGAGCTTTTCAAAATACCCAGTAAACAGAACGGTATACGGTGTTTCAGTGAGTATTATAAGATGAACAAATAACTGCATCGTAACTTAACAGAGAAACCTGTTTCTTTTGTTCTGACTTATTTTTATCTGCCCTCAGTCTGTACACAGAAATGCACCACCACACTGGCAAAGCGTGCTGGTTTGTGCAGTTTTTAAGGAGGCTGCCAGTCCAATGACGTCAATTCAGTGCGCAGTAGCTGTAGCTAACACGTAGCAACATTCATATTTCAGTTCTTTAACAGCCTCGTAACTCAGAGGATCCAGTGATATTCAAGAGAAAAATGTTCATAGGACAAACGTATCAGCTTTGAAACATTTTTGTTTTCCCCAGGAATCAAAAGAGACATTTTTCAAAACTCCTTTAATTCTTCTTACAGAGAAATTCCATTTGGACCCAGAGTTCTCTATAAGGGCTTATAAGAGCATGGCACCGGCTACGAAATGACGACTTCAATGGTCCATGGACATCCAGAGTATGTGGTCATGCAGGTCAGTCACCAGCGCCCGCTGTTGTTACCGTCGCTCCCAGCTGCACGGGACTTCTGCCACGCACAGGAGATGCCGCAGATACAAGGACGTGGCCCTGGGCCCGGACTGTGCATGCCCGGGGACTTGGCTCGAGCTGATGGGTTGCCCAGATAGTTGACCTTTGAAGGGGGGCCTCTGTGTGCGGCTGTGAGATGCTCAGAGGTGTGGCTATGCAGAGGGTCATGCAAAGAGGCTCATGATAGAGGCCTTGTAAAAAGGCACATTTAAGTTTTTTGTTAGTTTAAAGGTATACATGTTTGTGGTGTTGGTCACCATGGGGTGGAAGCCTATGACTAACGGCAACCTCCTCTGTGACTTCAGTGCTTTGTGCAATTCTTTCTGCTAGTGTTTCAACAAAGAGAACTGCTCACAGCAGAATTACTCAAAGCCCGCACGGCACAATACACACACACACCCCCACACACACACACACACACACACACGCATATCAGAGATGTGGACTTGAGTCATATGACTTGGATTCGAGTCCGAGTTGTGTCATGAATTTGATGACTTGAGATTCGAAGAAATCGAGAAAGACTTGCAACTTGATTAAAACACCAGTGACTCGGACTTCGACTCAGACTTGAGCCACATGATTTGGAAAGACTTGAGAAAGAAACATGGAGAGTCTGACTGCAGACGAGACTCTGCACAGCTGCTTTGTTTTACTTACTTTTCATGTGAATGGATCTAAAATGACTCCCTTTTTCAGCCATGTGTGTGCAATTCCATACTGTACATAAAGTGCAATATTTGGGTGTAAAAGCCAAAATTTCATAACTTACATAGTGCACTATATGAGAAGCAATGAGTCATTTGAGATTCAGCCTTAGGATTCTCTGTGGTATGATTTTACAGATGTTTATTATTGCCCGTTAATGGGCTATTGATCTTTAGAAGAAAACACAAACAGAGCACTAGAACCTGGTTTAAGAGCTGGTAAGAATTATCTTATATCTCAAATGACCAAGAGAGGGGTGTTACTAGAAAGATGGGTACTGTTTCCTCAGGAATGGATAACGCTTGTTATCCTAACATAAATAGATAAATATAAAACTACTGATGCCATGTCTGTATTGACCCTGATGCTATCACTCCTGTAGTCATTACTGATCATATTGAAGCCATTGTGTTAATTTCATATTGAGGAACATTGTAACAGTAAACATTTCATTAC